AAGGTAGTCAGGAGGTAATGGCTGCCGGACTATGGAATGTCCTCTCCCTGGCCCCCTAGGCAACTGCTTGACCATAGAATGTCCCAACCCTAGTTTCCATAGTGACTGTGTAATTACCAGATGCCCCCATCTGGGGGCAGCCAATGAAAAATGGTGGTGGGTAACTACTTCCTTAGAAGGAAAACTGAATTGTGATTTCTGGAATTCCTAGACACAAGCCAATCAGAATTGTACCTGTACTAGCACCCCTAAATGATGTAACCTTGTGACTTTTCCCTTTAAAAACTGAGCTTGCAGACAGGTGGGCGCTTCCTCCAGCCTACACTGCGTTGGATGTATTGGACGAAGTCCCTGCCTAGGCTTGTATTGCTTTTGGATATCCAGAATTAAACCTTGCTTTTGCATTCCGGCATGCTCGTCTTTGGTGGTCTCTCTGGGGGTCACGATCTGGGCACAACACACCCAAGACTGAAAACCCTCACCTGGCATTCCCCTGCAGGGCTCTGAATCTCTATTGTTCCCACCCCTCAGAACCTGGCACTCTCTTGGTGCTCCTCCCTCAGGAACTCTACCTTGGTGCCTCTGCTTCCAGATGACCTTATATTGGAGCTCTGCTCCTAGGTTCTGATCCCTGACCATCTCCTGGTGCCCTATCCTCAGGCCTCTGGACAGAGTGGTGTCCTTCTCTCAAGCCTCTGGCCAACTCCCTCAGGTGCCCTTCCCTCAAGGCTTCAACTGACTCAGGGCTCTTCTTACCATGTCTTGAAGCACTTCCTTAAAAGCTCCAACTCTCTCTCAACCTCTCTTAACGTCCTTCCTCAGGCCTACAGAAGTCTTTGGAGCCCTTCTTTCAGGGCTTCAACTCTCTTGGGTTGCCCCCTGGAGTACCTAAACCCGTTTCTGGAGCTCCTCCCCCCGGGATCCACCTTTGTCTTGGTGCCTCTTTCTCGGCCCCCAACCCCAATCTCTATTGACACATTCCTCACTCAAGGCTATAACCATCTTCTGATGCCCCTCCTTCAGGGTACCTGGCTCCCTTTCCTCAGAGTTCAGATCTTCCTTTGTCAACCTTGCCTCTGGGTTCCAACCATCTCTTTGTGAACTTCTTTTAAGTCTCTCTCTTAAGACCTCTCTTGATGCTCCTACCTCAGGGCTCTAACTTTGTCTTGGGGCCAGTTCTCTGTTGGCACCTCTCCTTCAGGTTTCTAGCTCTCTTGGTGCCCTTCCCTCAGGGTTCTGAGTCCCTCTTCTAACTCCTCAGATCGCCAACGGTCTTTTGGTGCACTTCCGTTAGACCTCTGACCCTGCTTTGGTGCTCTTCCCTCATGGTTCCGACTCTCTGTGCTCTTCCCTCAAGGCTCCAATCTTCTCAGAGGAGGACTCCCAGAGAGGCTCTGAAAACTGAGGGACGGGTGTCAAGAGAGGTAAATCCCTGAAATACGGGCACAAAAGAAGAGTCCAAGTCTCAAGAGGGGAGTGCCTGAAGAGCTTCATAGTTCTGAGGGACCAGCCAAGAAAAGCAGCGCGTCAATGTGGGGCCCCTGAAGTGGATCAGAACCCTAGGAAGTATAAGAGAGGGTCGCAGCCCAGAGGGAAGCACTTCAAGAGAGGGTCCAACCCAGAGGGGAAGTTCACCAAAAGGTTCTGAACTTTGATAGAAAGGCACCAACAAACAGTTGAAGACTAGAGAGAAGCACACCAAGAGAGGGATGGAGTGCTGTGGCGCAAAGTGAACAAAAGAAAGATGGAGTACTGAGGTGTTAGAACCATAAGTGAAAAGCACCAAGAGAGGCAAAATCCTAATGGAACTGCACCAAAGAAGGTCGGAACCTTGTGGGAAGGTTCAAACCAAGACAGAGTCGGAACTCAACGGAAGTGCACCAAAAGACTGTTGAAAATCTGAGAGGTTAGAAGAGGAATTCTGGAACCCTAGGGAAGGGCACTAAGAGAGTTGGAACTGACAAATTCCTGGTTTGTCTCTCCCACACCACCTGCTTTCACTGAGGTGACAGGATGTTACCCATAGCTAACCCCTGGCAGTCTCCACTAATTTTCAAATTTTTATTACATGTATATTTTATATATATGTGTGCATGCATGTGGCCCTATTTGGGTGTGGGTTTTTTTCACGTCTAAAATGCTCAGGATTTGTGTCAATGCATGCACACCAGCACAGCTGCAGAGCATGGCAGAGAGAGGCAGAGAGAATCAGCAAGATAGATGGGGATATTTGCTTGAAAGAATTGCCTCTGAAGGTGGAGGTGGTGCATGGCTTTAATTCTAGCACTTGGGAGACAGAGGCAGGTGGATCTCTGTGAGTTGGAGGTCAGCTTTATCTACAGAGCTAGTCCAGGACAGCAAGAGTTACACAGAGAAACCCTGTCTCAAAAAAAAAAAAAAAAAAAGAATTGGCTCTGATAGGTCTGGCTCTTTCTAAACTTGTGGCCAGGGCATTAGGCTTGGGTTTAGGTCTGGTCTGACAAGGCAGCTGTGAGTTCAAATTCTTCAACCCACAGGGTAGAAGCACAGACTATCTAGGTTGCAGTGTGCATATGTGAATCTCATTTCAGTGTTCCTCAGTCTTCACTCACAAGGCCCTCCACAGACTGGGCTGAGGTACCCATAGTCAGGAAGTCTACAGAGGTAAAGGTCAATCATATTTCCATGTTACCATTGCAAGAGCATTTCGACTGAGGTGCCTCACATGCTTTGTACCACACCTAAGTGGACAACCACAAGCACTATCACCTATCACACTGAGGATCTTGTGGGCCTCTCAGCCTGCCTTTTTTTGTTTTTAGTGGCACAATCCATGTCATAACACAGATGAGGGCTCTGTGCCTGTTTTGTGCAACTTAATCATTATGTTTGATGGCTTTTTATAAGCTACAAGTCACATAATGCACAACTCACCCACTTAATATGCAAGTACAGGTGGTTTCTATATTGTTTATATGGGTATGCCCATCATCACCATAGTCAATTTTCAAATGCTTTCTCCTCAAAGTAAACTTCTGGGCCATTTATTGGTGTTTTTTGTGGGTTTGTTGAAGAAAAGGATCACTCCAAGATGAATTTTGGCTTAGCAATCAGCTGCGGAATCAGCTTCTGGTGAAATGATTGCCCATAGCTTTGCAAAAATCCTTCTTTATTGTTATACAGTTTACACCTCTTAGCAAGTCCAAACCTCCTATCTGGAGTTGTTTGACAGAACCATTTGCCCAAGGAATTCTCAGCCATGAGACATCTTGGTTTTCCAAGTCTTCTTAAAACTAAGTTTTGGAAAGTCTCTGAATCCTTCGGGAAGGACTCAGACAAGAATCAAATATTTCAAACAAAAGGAAAGAAGCACAAAAGGCAGTTCAAGGTCTAGGTTCTAATACTGAAGAATTCAAGCCAGATGCAATGCTCTGTGGGATCTCTAGTTACATCTCCCCCTTCTGTTTAAACTACAATTAATTATGTTGGAGGTTATGTAGCTGTACTGTAAACACAGCCTTTTCTCTATAGTTTTTTGTCTTACAATCTTATACAAATAAGCAAAAGTACATTTTAAAACCAATCAAGTCATTACTGCTAGAACAAGGGTAACATCTGCTAGAGCAAGAGCTCTATTAAAGTGATGACAGGATTGAATGAGGCTGATGTATAAGCCTTTCCAGAACATCCCTTCCCGTCCCATCGGATAAGGAAAGTTTTTGAAAAAGTTTCCTTAATTTCTTGTTGTAAATCATAAATCATTTGAGAAGAAGTGGAGTGACCCATCAAAGACATCTTAACCTTTTCCCAGTCTTGCTTGCTATTATGAACCTTAAATGTAATATAATAGAATGTAGCAGTCCAATCACATTTTTATTTCATCTGTTCCCCCAATATTTCTAACGGATCTCTCAATAGTATAACGGCTTGTATCAAATCAGGTATTTCATTAACTATCTCACTATCTGTGTTATCTTGTTGAGTCCAAAGTTCTGTAGAATGCTTATGCCATCTCTAATGAACTCAGCAGTTTGAATTTCCTCATGAAGTGCCAGCCAGTCCAGCCATAGCGGCAGAAGCAGTCTGTGCAATAATCAATCCAGTCATCTGATGAGTTCTTCTTAATCTTTCAGTGGGCTTCCGTACCAGGATTATCACAAGTGAGTCTTGCCATGGCCTCAACAACTTCACTACTAACCAGATTGCCAGCCTTGCTCTAAGAATGTCTGAACTTATAGAGATTACATTTGCAGACTTACTAGAATTAACATGGGTATGAAGAGTACAGCACTCACAAGTGATACTATAATTATTAGGTTGCCATTGTACAGACCTTTTCAGTAACAAATAATGATATACATGCTATAAAAAGGCAACTTTATTTCATCTAAAAGACAAAGAATACTTATCATCCTTGATGTTTAACTTTCTTTTCCACTTTTTTGTTTGTTTTTTTGTTTTTTGAGACAGGGTTTCTCTGTGTAGCTTTGTGCCTTTCTTGGAACTTGCTTTGTAGACCAGGCTGGCCTCAAACTCACAGAGGGATACGACTACCTCTGCCTCCCAAGTGCTGGGATTAAAGGCATGCGCCACCACCGCCCAGCTTCTTTCCCATGTTTTAAGAGGGCAGATGGATGGTACTTGCTAATTTTCACAAGTTAGTCTGAACTGAATTGCCAAATTGCAGGAGAGGACTTGACATTCCAACTCCATGTCATTGGATAGGTTCATTAACAGTAGAACTAATTGCAATAATTCCATTCGAACTATATCTGTGCCGTTTCAATTCTGAGTGAAAATCCTTTCCTCCAGGAAGCCATACAGGCTCCAATCAACAATGTATCCATGAGAGGTATTAGTAACCACTCCAGGGTTCTTACTCTTACACTGTTCCAATGGACTCAGTCAGATTCCTTGTTGGTATTTCACATCTCACAAAATGGCAGATTTATAGAACTAGTGGCATTAATCTCCTGTCCTCTGAAATCAGATGTATGAAGCATATAGAACTTATTATGATAGTACCAACTACTGGGTAGTACCAACTACAGATAACCACACTTGAAAGTTATATTTAGTCATTGAATTCCATTACCCATACAAATAGGAATTCTTTGCATGCCTACAGTATAATTTATGATTTCCTTACCCTCCTTTGTAGGCTTAACAGGTCCTTGGTTGTCATAAGGACTAGGAAGCCAAGAAAATTCACTAAGTACCACAAGAATATCCATATTTCCCCAACTTACTCCTATGTTAATTGGAGGATTAGGAATATATGCCCAATATGTATGGTTCGTCCCCAGAACCTGTACAGTTACCAGAGACAGTACAGCAAGGAACAAAGTTGTAGCATTTAAAGATTTCTCAGGAAGTTGAATTATCACATCCCCTTTGTCACACAAATTCTGAAACAGGTGGGAGGATCAGCCATCCATTTTAAAGGCTTTGCATCTCTTTTTCCCCAGAGTCACCTCACCCATGTCAGTCGCCAAACATCCAAGAGACTTCCCTCGCTCGTGTCAAATTTTTATCAATGTTGATGATAACCACAACTTTTTGTCTCCTGCAGAAACATGAGCATATCCTTGGCCTCAACATAACACCTTTCTGGTTTCCATTCTGATATTAAAACATCCTTGCAATACACAGGCTGACTGAATTCAGCAGTTTATTCCACAATCCAATACTTTCAGCAGCTCTTGTCCCTGTTAAATTAGCATTTAAAAAAATTAAATTAGTAAATCATTATGCAATCTATCTCTGGGGGTCCTCATATCCCCCTTCTGTTTAAAAAACGATCTCTTGCCAGATGGTGGTCTCCCCAGCACTGGGGAGACAGAGGCAGGCTGATCTTTGTGAGTTCGAGGCCAGCCTAGTCTAAAGAGTGAGTTCCAGGATAGCCAGGACTGTTTCACAGAGAAAACATGTCTTGAAAAAACAAACACAAACAAGCAAACAAACAAACAAACAAGCAAACACATAAATAAATAAATAAATAAATAAATAAATAAATAAATAAATAAATATGAAAACAATTTCTGGTGGAGTGTGACTAGATCTTTCAACAACTGCTTGTCCCGTAGGATTATACAGTATCTCTGTAATGTGTTTTATGTTATAAAGTGCAAAAGCATTGTTTTATTTATTGAAAACATAAGCAGGGACATTATCAGTTTTAATTTGTATTGGTATACCCATTATAGCCATTGCCTCTAATAAATTTGTAATCATATAATGAGCCTTTTCAGAACTCAAAGCACATGCCCTTGAAATCCAGAGTATTTATCAATGGTATGATGAATAAATTTTAATTTTTAAAATTTTGTACAATGAAATACACCCATTTACAAATTTTTATCTTTTGTGTACCTTTAGTATTACTCTCTGCAGGAGAAAGGAACTTGCTTATGCAAAGAACAAGTAGGAGAGGTTTTTTTATAATCCCTTAGCTTGTTGCCAGGTAAATGAAACAAAATTTAAGCATTTACTATTTCTTTCTGTTGTTTTCTTTGTTTGTTTTTGTTTTGAGACAGGGTTTCTATGTGTAGCTTTAGCTGTCCTGGGACTTTCTCTGTAGACCAGGCTGACCTCGAACTCACAGAGATCTGCCTACCTCTGCCTCCCAAGTGCTGGGATTAAAAACAAGCGCTGCCACTGCCTGGCACCAGCCTTTACTGTTAACATGATGTTTTTATGAAATTTTGAAATTTTTCTATCAATAATTTATCCACTTCTTCATTTCCGTTTGCTAATGGCCCAGAAAATCCAGGATGAGAATGAAATATTGTGAATAATTTCTGTCCTGGATTGCTTGTTGCAGTTGCATGAATAGCAAAGTTAATTTTGAACAGTCTTTTGGTGCACTTCCGTTGAGCTCCGACTCTGTCTTGGTTTGAACCTTCCCACAAGGTTCCGACCTTCTTTGGTGCAGTTCCATTAGGATTTTGCCTCTCTTGGTGCTTTTCACTTATGGTTCTAACACCTCAGTACTCCATCTTTCTTTTGTTCACTTTGCGCCACAGCACTCCATCCCTCTCTTGGTGTGCTTCTCTCTAGTCTTCAACTGTTTGTTGGTGCCTTTCTATCAAAGTTCAGAACCTTTTGGTGAACTTCCCCTCTGGGTTGGACCCTCTCTTGAAGTGCTTCCCTCTGGGCTGCGACCCTCTCTTATACTTCACTTCCTAGGGTTCTGATCCACTTCAGGGGCCCCACATTGACGCGCTGCTTTTCTTGTCTGGTCCCTCAGAACTATGAAGCTCTTCAGGCACTCCCCTCTTGAGACTTGGACTCTTCTTTTGTGCCCGTATTTCAGGGATTTACCTCTCTTGACACCCGTCCCTCAGTTTTCAGAGCCTCTCTGGGAGTCCTCCTCTGAGAAGATTGGAGCCTTGAGGGAAGAGCACAGAGAGTCGGAACCATGAGGGAAGAGCACCAAAGCAGGGTCAGAGGTCTAACGGAAGTGCACCAAAAGACCGTTGGCGATCTGAGGAGTTAGAAGAGGGACTCAGAACCCTGAGGGAAGGGCACCAAGAGAGCTAGAAACCTGAAGGAGAGGTGCCAACAGAGAACTGGCCCCAAGACAAAGTTAGAGCCCTGAGGTAGGAGCATCAAGAGAGGTCTTAAGAGAGAGACTTAAAAGAAGTGCACAAAGAGATGGTTGGAACCCAGAGGCAAGGTTGACAAAGGAAGATCTGAACCCTGAGGAAAGGGAGCCAGGTACCCTGAAGGAGGGGCATCAGAAGATGGTTATAGCCTTGAGTGAGGAATGTGTCAATAGAGATTGGGGTTGGGGGCCGAGAAAGAGGCACCAAGACAAAGGTGGATCCCGGGGGGAGGAGCTCCAGAAAAGGGTTTAGGTACTCCAGGGGGCACCCAAGAGAGGTGAAGCCCTGAAAGAAGGGCTCCAAAGACTTCTGTAGGCCTGAGGAAGGACGTTAAGAGAGGTTGAGAGAGAGTTGGAGCTTTTAAGGAAGTGCTTCAAGACATGGTAAGAAGAGCCCTGAGGGATAAAGAGAGAGCCTTGATAGAGGGTCCCAAATAACAGAGTTCTGAGGGGTCAGAAGAGAGGGTCAGAACCCGGAGGGAAGTGTATCAAAGGAGTCCAGCCTTAAAGAAAGGACTCCAAAGACTGAAGAACCCCAAAGTCTTGAGAGAGGGGTGCTTAGAGATCCTCAGTGTCATGAGGGAGCAGGAGCTATGGCAAGAAAGGGAGAGACCTAAAGGTAGGACCCCCATGATAGTCAGATTCCTGAGGGAGGAGCTGCAAGAGAGGATCAGAGCCTTGAGAGAGTTTTGAAAACTTTTGAGGTCCTGCCTTTAGATAGTCTCCTTCCCAGGGCCCAAGAAGAGACGCTACGAACGGCAGCAATAATCTGCGGGAAGTGAGTCTGAGTACTGAGGACAGCATGCTCTTATGTCCATCCACTTTATTCCTTTAAGACAAAATTCTATCTACACAGCTTCAGTTCTGGTCTCACATTCGGCTACTCTCTGTGACTTTTCTCCCTGTCCTCTCATTGTCCTAGATCTAAGCTCTTTTGCTCTCCACCTCATCTCAGTACTCTGATCCTCCATCCATTTTGTCCTTTTCTCTCCTACTCTCCTGATCCAACACAATTCACCTGCCATCTCCAAACTCTCTGCCTAGCCTCTTCCTGGTCAGGTGGGGCAACCCTGCTGGGAGCTAGGAATTCTGCCTCAGTACTTGACTGCACCTGGTGTGCAAAAAAAACCCTTTTGCTCTAGAGTGCCACTTGGTCTGTGAGAGGGGGAGGGTCTGAGCTTCATTTGCACAAGAAACAAAGCCATGCACTTTGCCTCCAAGGCAGTGTCTCCAGAAGGATGTTTACCCCAATTCAGGAAACCTTTTACATCAGGGCCTAGGATGCTTGAGAAGTATTTCAGATACATACACTGTTAGGACTTCTTGGAAGCATACACAGCATACAAGAAAATCATTGCAGGAACTGGCTTATATGTATACAAAAGCTAAAATATCACGCAGACTCTTTAAGCCATGGCTTGACCTTCAGAAAAGTCATTGGCCTTCCAAGTAGTAGCTTGTGTGAGAGTAGCTGGATTCCATTCCATTTTCCTGCAGCTTGTAGAAAGAGATAATTGCCAAGAGAGCTTGAGAGCCCTAGGGAGAGGTGCAAAAGAGGGAGAAAACAGAAGGTGGGGCTGAGAGTTGATCAGAACACAAATGGAAGGGCACCAAGAGAGATTGATAGAGGGGGAGAGAGGGGGAGAGAAGGAGAGGAGAAGGAGACAGAAAGAGAGAGAGAGAGAGAGAGAGAGTCAGTTGAAGCCTTGAGGGAAGGGCACCTGAGGGAGTTGGCCAGAGGCTTGAAAGAAGGACACCACTCTGACCAGAGGCCTGAGGATAGGGCACCAGGAGATGGTCAGGGATCAGAACCTAGGAGCAGAGCTCCAATATAAGGTCATCTGGAAGCAGAGGCACCAAGGAAGAGTTCCTGAGGGAGGAGGACCAAGAGAGTGCCAGGTTCTGAGGGGTGGGAACAATAGAGATTCAGAGCCCTGCAGGGGAATGCCAGGTGAGGGCTTTCAGTCTTGTGTGAATCACTCGGATGATGTGAGTGAAGGAATGATGCTCCAGAGAGCTTGAAGCCTGAAGGAAGGAGTGAAGGTACAGAGGCCCTTGGGTGTGGGGACAGTCTCCAGGATGGTCTCCAGAAAGAGGATGTTGCTCATCTTCCTCAGGCAGGGCCTTATAGAACATTCCCCTGAGTACAGACAAGTCCAGTGGGGCCAGTGGCTGAGAGAATCTAGCAGAACTTGAGTAACTAGCCTGGAGCATTCCAGAAGGGCATAATAGATTCCAAGCAAGCATCCATGTTCCAGATATGAGATGATAAGATCCAGCCCAGTGGGACAATTCCATAAGGAAACCCCAGAGGATTCTGCAGGATGATTCTAGAATGGAAAAGCAAGAAGATGAGGAAAGGTTTCTAGCAAGGGTAGGATAACCTGAAATCCGATGTTAGGGCAGAGACCAGGTAGGAGAGGAGGATATGGACTACGCCCATGGGAGGAAGACGGTCTAGAAGGGGGAAGATGGCAGACCCATCAGGACCATTTTACAAGTGGGAAGCAGATTCTGAGTATGGAGCAGAGAAGGATGGAGGAGACAAGGACCTGAAACTCCTGGGGTAGGAGAAGTAGGACAAGACTGCCAAGGCCATGACCCGGCATGCCTCCTCTGTGCCTTGATCCTCAGGACATGGACCTGGAGCAAGGAGCCTGGCCCTCACTGATGGACATGGTTCCCTTCACTTTCAGGTTCACCTGTCTCTTAGAGATGATGCACCCCTTCTTCTTGATAATTCTCCTGGGACTCCCATGGGTGCACACCACTGTCAACAATACCAGTGGGTTGGGCAACAGTACCAGTGGGTTAGACATGGTCATCAAACCTAGGCAAGGTAAGTATGATCTCAAGACTCCCAGTGTGTTGGATGGAAGGAAGCTCCACCTAGAGCTGAATAGGGTTATAAGAAGGCTTGTTTGGGATTGGGCTCACCAGAACCAGGTGGCATGAGTATTGTTAGGTTAACTTGAGACTCAAAGATACTCCTGAGTTTGAACAGGTCTGAGGAGACTGAAGACTGCCACAGAGAGCTGCTGACTAGGAGACCCCAGGGAGCATCTGTCCATAGCACTTCCCAGCAGGGACAGCGGGTGCTGAGTCCAGAGAAACACTGGAGGATTGTGGTGTCCTGGGTGGCCACTGTTCCATGGAGGGATGGACTTCTTTGAAGTGCTCAGCTGTTTACATGTGGCCAGCCCTTTAGAAAAAGGAAAGGTTCCTAATGGGTCTGCTGCTATTCTGATGATGGTCTGGCCTTGCCTTAGACTATGGCAGGATCTGAGCTCTACAGGCATTGTATAGGTGGCTTATACAGAGAACAGTATTGGGAAGGAGCTATGTTGGGAGTATAATGGTGAAAAGACTTCTTGGGGAAAAACCCAACAGTAGTTTTTTTTTTTTTTTTTTTTCATCCTCAATAGAATTTATGTGCTATTTGTGTGCATTCACAAACACCTTCTTATGCCCTCAAGAGAAAACCTGTTCTAACAACCAGAGACGCTGTGCAGTAATTGCCATACGTAAGTATCTGTATTCTGGTCACAGGGTGAGTAAGCCTACCTGCACAAGTTTGGGGGACAGGCTCAGTCTGTTCTCTCTGCAGCCAGATCTACCACTCTTCTGGCAGCTCCTTGAAGTGAGAGCCTGTTCACAGGTGCTGTGTTCAGCCCACTGATAGGGCAATGTACATCTGCTCATGGAGCCAAGAGCCTGTGGTTGATGGTAGGCTGACAGTCTACACATCCCGAGTATCCAGGGAATGAGACTACTGTGGCCCATCCATGACTTTGTCCCAGGAGGTCTCTCTATTCATATGGGCAGACACCTTGGTTCAGCTTTTGTGAATCTTTGCATACATGTTAGTTTCTGATTTTGTGCATTAACATCCTGTATTAGTTACTTTCCATTGCTCTGATAAAAGAGCCTGAACAAGAAAACATCTAAAATGAGGCATTTGATTGGGCTTCTGTCTTCAGAGGGTTGGAGTCTATAAGGGTGTAGGAAAGGCATGGTGGCAGGAACAGCTGAGAGCTCACACCTGGATTTACAAGCAGGAGACAGCACTAACTGTAAAAGGTGCTAAACTTTTGAAATCCCACAGCCTGTCCTGCACACACCCCCCAAGACACACCTCTAATATGGCCACACCTTCTGGTCCTTCCCAAATGGTTCTACCAACTGGTAACAAATATTCAAACATATGAGCCCATGGGGGGCCATTCTCATTCACACCACCACACACCCCAACTAGCCAGATTCAAGCAGTGAGATGCCAGTTTCTCAGGGTGATGCCTGCCATCTGAGATGGAAAAACTAGAGTTGAATCAGGGCACACAACAGGCAAAATAAATATTACTTACATGAGCAATGATTTTTTGTGGAGGAGACAAGAGAGATTGCAAAGAAGCTGTAATAATCTTCAGTCGTGTACATCAAGTAACCCATGATGAAAATAGCTACCGGGCTGAGGAATGGGCAGGGAATGGGATGGTATTTCTAAAATGTAGGCAATCAGGCAGCTCTGAAGTTCCCAATTAAATGCCCCCTGCCATGGTGTCTAGACTCAACAGCACAAAGGCTAAACTCATTACAGCTCTAGATGGAGGATAGAAGAACTTTGACTGGAAAGAGCAGACAGCAATGGTCTCAATACTCCTGCCTCTGTCTGGGGGGAAGTAGCCCTAGTTAACACATCGCTGATTTGTTCCAACAGTGATTTGTTTCCAGAGGCAGCTGAGGGACTGGACTTGCCCCTTAGGCTTTATTTTGCCAACGTCCACCACAGGCAACCTGATAATACCATTAACAAATTGAAGTCACCATATGAGACCAAGACAAAAATGGCCAAATGCATACATTTTCCATGGTTCCTCACACGAGCTCATGGAATTAATGGCAGTGTGTGATGTTGAGCATCGACAAGGTCCTCATAAATGGAGCTATGTGGAGTTATTTCTCCATCACAGTGCAATTGAGCTGTGAATTATTGTGAGGGAAGGACCTGCTGGCTCCTTGACAGGAAGGAACCTTTCTAAGCAGCCCAGTAGACAGGGAGGCCACCCTGGAATGAGGAAATATTGGGAGTTGGATGATTTGTGAAGAGAGGACTCATCAAAAATGAGTAGACATCGCTGACAGAGAGCTGAAGCTTAACTATGGATTGACACAGAGTTTATGTGGGGGAGGGGGCTGCTTGGATCTTGATCCCAAGGTCCTTCTGTTGTACAGCAGACGAGTCTCAGGGCTGTGGACAGTAAAGTAGTCAGGGTGAGTCCCACATCAGAAGAACTAAATAATGGCTCAGGCTCCAAGGGGAACAAGCAATAGCAAAGCCTCAAGCCTTCAGCCCAGGGATTCTGGCAGGGTGTTGCCAGTGGGGCTCACTTTACAGAACTCCAGTTGGCTGAAACCAGAGAAGATGGCAGTCTCGTTCTCTATGGAGTCTTGCTTGAGCCATCTAATCTGTGCTGGAGAACATGCATCTGTAATCCCAGAACTCTTACTGTGAGTGGGAGGCAGAGGTAGGAGAAGCAGCTGGAAGAGAGCAGGTCTGCTAGCCTGGAGTAAGCATAGCAGTAGAGGCAGGAGGGAGACCTCATCTCAACAAGATGGACAGTGAGGGACGCTCCTGAAAGCTATGCTCTGACTTCCTCATGCATGTGGGTAGCATGTGTGTCACACACACACACACACACACACACACACACACACACACACACACAGAGGAACAGGTGAAAAGGAAAAAGAAGTGGGAGATTAGAAAGGTCAGTGGCTGCCAGAGATGTGTGAAGGGAGATGAGAAGGCAGAGGCAGGCATCTAAGGAGACCAACTCGTCCTGCGTGAGACCCCAGTGGTGCCCCTCTACAGGTTTCAACCCCACAGCATGTGGAGCACCAAACCTCTGTGGAAGCTGAGGTCATGGAGTGATGGAAAAATGTCAGCCTGGGTCTGTCGACTATGAAGTGTACTGCTGAGGTACAGGCTGACAGAGGAGGAAGCTGTGCCTGGGACAGGACGTGTTCAGAAGAATTCTCTGCGATTTCTGATCATTTTTTTTATAAGCCCCAATGGTAATTAAGGAAAGGTCTACAAGTCACTTCTCTCATTGTAGGCTCTCATAGTGCCACACAGAATACCAGCTTCATTGCAGGCCATTCTATTAGATGTATGTGCCTGGGACTCTACACATTCATTGTCCATGCCCACAGAATGCTCCCAATATTTCCTGTGTACTCTGACCCACTAACACTCAATATTTGTTTAACGAGTGAGGAAATGAACAGATTCTGAGTCATGACATTCTTGAGGCAGAACTAGAGGATATGGTACCATGAGTCCTGAGAGTTTTCTCTAGGTGTAGGAGGTGAGGAGACTAGGTGATGTCTATCCCCCTCCTCATAAAGTCCCAATGGCAAGGCAAAGTGCAATTCTACTAACGTTCACCCCTGTGCTCTGTACATAAATGCCAAAGCTTGGAAAGCTAGGTGGGGCTTGGGAAGGTGTTTATCCTGGAGTCGTGAATGCGGGCACTTCTTTGTGCTCTTAATCCTCTCTGGAGTCTCAAAGAGCATAGCTTCTGGTCAGTGTTTCATTCTAGACCTTGGTAATGCTTAGGGTAATATTAGAACCAAACTGAACAGGGTATTGCATTTGCATAGCTGTATGTTTCATGTACATAGCTGTATGTAACTGAGATTGAAGTTTCAGCTGGGGAGGGACAGTGACAGGTGTAAAGATGGTAGCAATGCATAGAAAGGTAAGTTAGGAGTTGTTACTGGAGCGATCAGGCCCTCTTGTGTACTTGTATGATTTCTCTCAAGCATTCTTGACAATGTCTAGTTGTGAAATAATCATTTTTTACACTGTTTAAAAGTTTCACTCTGATTGGTGGAGTCACCAGCCAGAGGCAGAGAAAGCATGACATGTAGGATATGAGGTAAGAAGCCATGAGCCATGTAGCAGCAGGTAAATAATAGAAATGGTTTAAATTAAGTTATAAGAACTAGTTAGAAACAAGCCTAAGCTATCTGCTGAGCTTTCATAATTAATAAGAAGTCTCCATGTGGTTTATTTGGAAGCTGGCTGGTGGGACAGAAATATCTGCCTACAATGTCTCAATATAAGGTTATGGAGCCAGCTGTGGTTGACTGTGGTGGTGGATTTACAATGAAGATGTGAAGGTGGTCATTTTCTTCCTCTTTTCTTCTAGGTATGGACTCTCGGCAGCTCCTAGTCCACAAGAACTGTGTAGACGACTGCTCGTTTGCGCTTGTTCAGCCTCCACCAACCCCTAGAAAGCTTCCACCAACCACTTACTTCTACTATACCCAGTGCTGCTCTGGCCACCTTTGCAATGAAGGAGGACCTTCTAATATAGAGAGGGACTTGTCACCCCCTATTGTGATTGAGGAAGGGCCAATTGCAAGAGCTGTGTGTCTGGGCGAGTTCAACCTTCTTCTGAACCTTTCCTTAATCCTCTCCAGCATCATACTGACCTGAGAGCCCCTCCTTGGGGTAAACCCATCTTCCCCCAGCTGAAAGCATCTTTGTTCTTTGTTGTTTCCTTGTGAAGCAGAGACAGTGTTCAGGGCATCTGTTGGGCCCCTTCGTAGCTTGTTGTAGAAAAGAAATAAAGACATTGTTTGTTGAAAATGCCCCTGGCCATTGTTTTCTTGCTGTATGGAAGCATTTAGCCTGGGTTCTCTACTCAGACAAGCTCACTCCCCTTTTATATCCTTAGGAATTCCCTTGTGGGATGGATCATGGTTCCAGCTACTTGGCACCCTTTCAACACTGTAGGCTAAATACTCATCTCACTAGGTAGGTCCAAACCATCGGGCAGCCTTGGTATATGAGTGTTTTGAACAAAAGACAGAAGTGTTCTGAGGTCAGTCAGTATGTAGGCTGATAAGTCAGGTCCCCAGCTCAGCTGGGATGACTAAGTCCTTGCCAGATCCTTTCCGTCCTCAGGTCATGGGAGACGGGAACAGGAAGGTACCTAGCAAGCAGTGGCACCTGGACTGCTGGGCCTGACAGTCACCTCTGTGTTTTCCCTGTGCTGTGGGACAAATTCCTGGGCAACTGGCTTGTCTCTCCCACACCACCTGCTTTCACTGAGGTGACAGGATATTATCCATGACTAAGCCCTGACAGTCTCCACTAATTTTCAAATTTTTATTACATGTATATTTTATGTATATGTGTGCATGCATGCATGTCTAAAATGCTCAGGATTTGTGCCAATGCATGCACACCAGCACAGCTACAGAGCATGGCAGAGAGAGGCAGAGAGAATGAGCAAGATAGATGGGGATATTTGCCTGAAAGAATTGCCTCTGAAGGTGGAGGTGATGTAAGCCTTAAATCCCAGCATTGGAGAGTCAGAGGCAGGTGGATCTCTGTGAGCTGGATGTCAGCCTGGTCTACAGGGTGAGTTCCAGGACAGCAAGAGTTACACAGAGAAACCCTGTCTCCAAAAAAATAAAAATAAAAATAAAAGGATTGGCTCTGATAGGTCTGGCTCTTTCTAAACTTGTGGCCAGGGCATCAGGCTTGGGTTTAGGTCTGGTCTGACAAGGCAGCTGTGAGTTCAAATTCTTCAACCCACAGGGTAGAAGCACAGACTATCTAGGTTGCAGTGTGCATATGTGAATCTCATTTCAGTGTTCCTCAGTCTTTACTCACAAGGCCCTCCACAGACTGGGCTGAGGTACCCATAGTCAGGAAGTCTACAGAGGTAAAGGTCAATCATATTTCCATGTTACCATTGCAAGAGCATTTTGACTGAGGTGCCTCACATGCTTAGTACCACACCTACGTGGACACGCACAAGAACTATCTGTAATAATACAGTGGAGAGGCTTTGGTGGGTTTGGACCACGGTGTCCTGCAACAGGTTGGCCACACCATGCAGACATGGCAGATGATGGCGTGGTGGAGTGGAAAGTTACTCACACAGCAGATATGACATCTCCATGGGAAATTCATTTTGGGGGGGGGGGATTGTAGTGGTATTTGCTCCACCATGACCTTGAGGCATAGGGCCTGAAGGAGGAGGTGCTTCCTGCCATTGTATGTGACCTCTTAAAAGCGGAGGGAGAAGGGTCACATGCCCCTTTTCCAAGCTTCTGCCTAGGAGGCAGATTCACTCCTGTTCAGCTGTCTACTCTGTTCTATATTCACTAGTGTATTTCCTCAATTTACTTTAATAAATTTCTCTAATACTTCTTAAAGAGACTCCTGTGGATTTATTGCTTTATCTGGTGCCCAACCACATGGATCTGAACCCCACACATCCCTACTGGGGTTACTCATGTGGTCAAACCCTAAGGTATGTGGGTGGCTCCTAGTGAGTTTTCCCACCATGCAGAGCCTGCAGGAACCCCTGGGACCTGCATGACCTCTGCTCAGGTGACCATCTTCCTACAGTCATTGTGGGTGGAGCCTGTAGGCCAGGCAGCTCATGTAGCAGTGCTTCTTGAAACCACTGCCAGAAGCACAAGCATTCTGTAGCCCATAGAGCACTGCATCAGAGAGAAAGGTGTCTATGCTAGGCACCTTTCTAGTTCCATATTTGTAGTGGCCAGATTGGGTCACAGACCCCTTCCTGGTTAGAGACTACCAGCAGACTGTTCCTTTACTTTTAAAACTGTTCCACGTAGCTGCTGTCTACTCCATCTTTTGAAACTCCCGCAGCCACCACAGAGCGCATGCGTTGTACTCGTTTCTCGAAACCCCCAGAGACCACCAAGGAGCCGGTTTCCCATGCAAGCACATAAGGGTCCTTTTATTCAGGTTCAACCTGGGCCACCACACGGCAGATGCAAGGAAATGTGGTGGCAGCCACGAGCCCAGGTGTAGAGAGTTTTTATAGGGAAAGACCAAAAGCCAGGAATTGGCAGCTTGGGACTGAGTAGACGGAATATGGGGCGAGGTGATTTTTTGAAACTATTGGTCTAGACTTTGGGCCGAAACCACATTTGAAACCATTGGGTTAGACTTTTGGCTGGGAACTACAACCTGCTGTATAGGATTATGTGGCCTGCTCAGCAGGGTTATCTAGATATCTTCAAGGGCCATAAACTACAAAGAGGATGTCTGCAGGAGGATACTGCTCTGTATCCATTCAAGTTGCCATGGCACATTCCCAAGGTCCTTCCTGGAACCGAGTACAGCAGGTGGTCTGAGATGGTGGACCTTTCCCTAAAATGGAGCCTGTAAAGTTAAGTCTAGGCCTTCACAGCACACACAGTCTGTCCTGCAGAGTGTCTGCAGGTTTCCCAGGCAGCACTTCTAATTGTTCATTTGGTGTATTGCCTCATCTGTTATGATCCCACAGCTCTGGCTGGTACTCAGAGGTACTACCTGGGGCTTGCTTGGGTGACTGCTTAATTCACTGGAGCCCATTCAAGGATCCTGAGTCAGCTTGCACCAGACCTGTTTTGGTGCTACACCTGCGACACTTACTGGTCAAGCAATGATACTACATCCAAAAACCACTGAACAAACCAGCCATTCATCTAAGCTAATTAATTACACCTGGAACATCTGGACTCAAAAGAGAATCTTTTGAGGATTTTTCATAAGGAAATTATTTGATAATTTTACACTTTAAACTGATTAATAAATAAATTAATAAAAATTTTCTTTACAAATTTTAAATATTTCTCAAAAAGTGGCAGATAATTTCACCATTCAGGAATTTAAAACCTTTTTTGCTTGTACTATGAATGAAATATTACAGGACATATATGACCTTCCTGGGATGTATATAATGTTCACCATAATAGCAATTAGCATAGTGATTCATCTCATATCATTGAAAAATCGGCTTAATAATAACAGCAAAAGTGAGACATTAATGGGACTGATAATGCTAATACAGAATGCAAAAGAATACTTACACCTTTAAAGTTCAGGTCAGCATCCTTAGAAGAATAGATTCACTATAAAATGGTGTTGAGTCTCTTAACTATGGTAATAAGACTTGTATAGAAGAGGCGATTTCCAAAGGTGAGAGGAAGCATCAAGGTAACAAATGTTTTAACTGTGGTATACCAGGTCATATAAGAAGAAATTGTACACAGGGTGCTCTTAGAAGCAATGCTTCTTATAGAAATAACCCAAAGAGAAGACCCCAACCTTCTGGATTATGCAGAAGATGTGGCCAAGTCTGACACTGGACCAATGAATGCAGATCAATAAGAGGCATACGAGGCAACCCTTTACCATCGGGAAGTGCCTCAGGGGGCCTCTTGCAGGCCCCCAAATCTAACATTGTCCTAACATTTCTAGTCACTGTAGAAGAAATTTCTCCCAAGGAAAATTAAATAACCCAGTGACTAACGTAAAGAATGATACTGCACTGGACGATACAGCAACTTTGATAGATGAGCCAAAAATACCATAAAATGAATATTTTGACAGATTTCCATAAATGAACAAAGACCAAATCTTAAAGTGTGAATTAATAACATTGTCCTTGAAGGATTAGTGGACACAGGTGTGGATATGACTGGAATTACACCAAAATCATGGCATCCGAATTGGCCTCTTCAAGAGGTAGATGTCCAATTTCTAGGGATTGGAACCCTATCTCAGGTAAAACAAAGTCTGAGAAGGGTTCATTGCATAGGGCCAGAAGGACAAAGAGGAAGGCTGAAGCCATGTGTGGCAAATGTAGCAGTGAATCTTTGGGGCTGAGATCTGTTATAGTAATGGAATACCCAGATTAAAATTCCTCCAATCTCAGGAGTAGAATATAGACCAATTCATGTTTCTTGGAATAATATTATAAGATACTATAAGGAACAGCCACCAACCATTCAGGCTGTACATAAGCAGAGCACAACTGCCATTGAACTCTCAGAATTACCAATGGTCCTATCTTTAAAATAGTTAACTGATAAACCTGTCTGGGTTGGACAATGGCCTATGACACACAAGAGAAGCTACAAGTTTTAGAATAGCTGGTTCAGGAGCAGTTAAATGCTCAACACATTGAAGAATCTACCAGCCCTTGGAATTCTCATGTATTTGTTATTAAAAAGAAATCTGGTAAATGGAGAATGGTGACAGATCTGAGAGCCATAAATAAAGTAATATAGCCTATGAGCTCCTTACAGAATGGGATGCCCTTGTCCTCTCTGTTACCTAAAGAATGGCCTTATAGTTATTGACTTAAAAGACTGTTTCTTCACTGTACCTGTATGAGAAAAGGATAGAGAAAAAATTGCCTTCACAGTACCTACTTATAATAATTCCCAGCCAGTCAAGAGATATCAATGGAAGGTTCTCCCACAGGGAATGTTAAATGCCAAAACTCCATTACCTGCAGGAAGTAATCCTAATGGTATACAAAAAAATAAAATTTGGCAGATGGATGTGTTTCATTTTGCAGAATTTGGAAGATTAAAATATGTACACCACACCATTGACACCTACTCAGGATTTCAGTTGGCAACTCCTATGAATTCTGAAAAGACTGACTCTGGGATTACACACCTATTAGAAGTTATGGCCATCATGGGAATAACTGTATAAATTAAGACTGACAATGCTTCAGAATATGTCCCAAATAAAATGAGAGGTTTTTTTCTTATTACAATATAAAGTATGATACAGGTATACCACACAATCCCACAGGCCAAGGG